ATGCAAGAAAAGATATATAAGTGACTTTGAAGCTGAGAATATAGTGTATAGTGTTTGGGATCGAATTAAAAAGGAAAAGGGAAAACTGGTAGGACAGTGCTTACTCTATTTGTGTCAATACTGAATTATAATTTAAACATTATTAATGTTTTTGTTTTGTTTTTTGGGGGGGCTGTGAAATAAAAACAAACGATGCCTTTGTAACAATCTGGTGAATGACATAATCTCTCAAATGAGGGAAAGATAATCTCTTTCCCCTCCGAACCCTCCGTACTGACGAGCTTTGCTGCTTTTAAGCTTGAAAGTCTTAGTGATCAACCTACATTTTCTCTGTCCGACTTTCATCTGTGACATTTTTATTAAGATAAACATAGTTTCAGTTCTAGGAGAGTTTTTTTTTTTTTTTTTTTAGTATGAGGTTATTCAAAAGTAAAGATGGAGAAACAGTCTTCTGACAATATTGATTAAACTTTGGCTAGAATGTATTGCTATAAACATTATAGACAACATTTTTACACATATACTAAAATGATCTCAGTCAAACAATGGGTTTAGTGATGACAATTATCTTAATTTAATAAGATCCAGACTCTGAATCTGCTTACATGATGGTGAACATCACAGAAAGTAATCACTGCTAAATACTTGGCATGTAAGCATGACAGCATCTTTCCAGTGTGCAACAAGAGTCAGAGGCTCAGAAAGGCAAGAGAGAGAAAAAAAGTAGATAAGAAATGTTCTAAGTTTTTTGTTTGTTTGTTTGTTGTTGTTGTTGTTGTTGTATTTTGCCCTGAAAGGCAAAGTAAAAGAAATACTTAAATAAGAAAAATTATAAGTTTAATTTTGTTTGCAATTTTTTGTTCGTTTTTTTTTTTTTTTTTCAAAAGAAAATAAATATCTAAATATGAAAGGTTCTGATTTTTGTTTTTTTGTGTTTTTTTCTGCCCTGAAAGACAACAGACATTTTTTTTAAATAAAACAGTTAAAAGTTGTTTTTTTTGTGTGTTTTTTTTAAAAGCACAATAAAAATTATTTATTTTATCCTGTACCAGCAACACCTTAGTACCTTTAAATAAACTCTTTAAACTAGGGCTGAAACAATTAATTGGATTGATCATGCTTAATCGATTAATGAAATACTCGTCAACTAATTTACTAATTCATTAATCCTTAACTGGAGTATAGAGACTGTAAGACATGCCTTTAGCTGAAAAATCCACCTACTTGGAGCAGTAAATACATCAAAATTGCAAAAAGAAACATACATTTTTTTAATTTAAAATAAATTTCAAAATATTTGTGCAAAAATTCGATGTGTGCATTAATCTGTTCTACCCAGAACTCATCAAGTGCAAAAGTTTTAGTTTGACCTGGTTTGATTCTGTAAAAAATTTCCTTTAAGGATCCTTTTGCTATCTGATTATTAGTCCATGGATGGAAAAAATAATCGATAGATTAATCAATTAGCAAAGTTATTGTTACTTCCAGCCCTGCTTTAAATGCTTCTACTTGTGTTGGCTGAATTTTGTGTCTCCATATTATGTTCAGGCATTTCACGCTCAACCTTGTGCTCTTGTGCTCCTTGTTGACCATATTTGTTGATTTTTAACTCATCGAGACTCCACCTGTTTCTTCATCTGTCTGTCCTTATCCCTGCTCACAAACTTTTGTTATTTGTGGTTAGAAAACTTTATCTGGGCTACGTTTGGATATCAGATGTTGGATCTGGATCATCTTGGTATCAGTTGTTTCTATTTATGTGCTCTAAATTAGTTTGCTGTCCACCAAAGTGCCCATTCAGACTACATCACCTGGTCAGCAGATGCCACAATAAAAGACCCCTGAATCACCTTTTTGCTGAGCCCTTTAGACATCCGCTGTCCAAGTTCTGTTATCTCTTGCTAAGCCAATCCAATTGTTTTCTGATAAAACCAATTTATCTATTAATAAAGTTCTGTTTAGATCAGAACCAGGCAGAGTGAGACATTGGTTTAACCGTATTTCTGTCTGTTTCAAGATTGCAAGAGTAAAGAAGCACTATTGAGATGACATCTTGATGGATTATCACTGCTCTCCTTTGTTAAATGAACTCATTGATCACAGTTAATTTTTATTTTCCATTTAGATGTCCAATTTATCCCATTATTATGTCCTCTGCTTTTTCTTACTCATTCTAGTCATTTATGTTGAGACCCTTACGATCCCACACTCTCTCTCCATCACTCCTTATGATCTTATTTTTTCCTATCACACTTAGATTTTTCATCTCTTTTTTTGTGATCCCTATTATTAAATTTTGCCCCACCAATCATATTCTTCTGGGTAAGGCATGTGCTTATTCATCCTACCCATCATCTTCACCCTCTTTATGAGTCTTCTTTATCATAATCATTCTTGTTATTGGTTTATATTACCCATTAACTTCCTCATCACTTTTTACATCCCTTTTTCTAGCTCTCTATTCTACTAATCCCTCTGTTCGATCAGATTTCATCTAAACCATCCTTTTTAATCCTAATAACCCTTGTAATGTTTCCTAATTAACCCTTTTATTGCACGTTTAATATATTATCTTGTCTTTTTTAATAATCTTTAATAATTTTGCAAAGTAGTAGAAAACAAAAAACAAAAAGCTCATCTTTAAATCTAATATGTGGCACTTATTTTTCATTTAACAACCGTTAGCCAGCTCATTATGCTGTCATCTCTCTTGGGGTGGCTCCCAAGTTAGTGATGTCATTCGCCCACTGAGAAAACTCCCACTCTGACTCCCCAGATGAAGCTTAGTCTTTCTATTCCCTCTCCATTTGATTAGATCAGTGAACTCACATTCTTGTCAATAATCCATGTTATCTGAATGTCGGCATTTTTTAATGTTCTCTAAAAATGACTTTAAAAGAATAAGTTTTTGCCTTGTTAACCTTTGCTCTGCTTATACTTCAAAGTTTCAATGGAGATGCATGTCTGGCGGTTATTGCTGTATCAGTTTATTTTTATAGTGCAACTACATAGAACAACACACATTTCATGGGCAAAATTTAATCAGGTTCATTTATTTTCTGCAAACACAATGGCTACAAAGCATGACTGTAGAATATCATAGAAAAAATATAATTTGAGTATATGTAAAGGTAGTAAACACTGAAAAAACATAGAAAAATGTCAAATTCATATAGAATAGTGCAATAAGAATGTTGTTCAGTTCACTAAAATATATGGTGTGCATGATGTTTAATCTGACTTTGAATTTTGATTTAATTGGTTCAGGTTTAAATTCCTACAATATGTTTTTTAATTATTTTTTCTATAAAAAAAGATTTTTATTTTTTATCATTAAACAGAAGCAGAACCTTACTTGAAATTTGAAAAAAAAAAAAAAAAGCCATTATCAAGAGCAGCTTGAGTTTCAGGCCTTTTACATTAAAAAAAAAAACTGTCAATATAAACATCAGTATAACTACCAGCAGGAGGTCCAAAAACATCTAACTGCGCATCATTAACAGGATATTTTTGCACACCACATATATTTTGACCTGTCACAGCAAGAGGGAATCAGGCATAATGAACATTAACAATAAATTTGCTCTACTTTAACATTAAGTATGTGATGACGGCATTATAGAGAATAGGCACAATATCAGAACCAAGAAAATCCAAAGCTGCTAATTAATGTTATTATGTCCCACCGGTGATTTCCTTCCTGTGACAGGTCAAGCTTTCAACGGGGAGAAGGGAGGCCATTAGGGATAATCATTCAGCACTCACAAAGCTGTTTCTGCGTCATGGAGGGAAACTGAAACTGCACTTTTTAAATGACAATGTCTTTGAAGACTTTTCAGATGTAGTTAGAAGGATCAATACCAATGTAATTTGTTTTTCAACTTAATCTAGTCAGCGATACAATGCTAACAGCATTTGGAAATCCTGAAGCTGAGGAGACTATAGCACTGAAAAAGCAATTTGGGTGAATTGACCCTGTTTTTAAATGTTACATCCTGATATATAAAGGATTGTAAAGGTGAAAGAACACATACAGGACATCCTTCCATCCTTCTTTCCATCCAGAGTTTGTAAGTTGGTATCACAGTTTAATGTTTTTTCCAAACCTGCTGCAGAAATCTTGACATTTATACCTAAGTGTAATTTTGGACTAAATAGTTCATAAAACATCTCTAGACTGTGGAAGGAAATAAGTAGGGGTGCCCAAGGAGAACCCTTTGTGATCCTGACTGCTACAGTAGTTGATATTTATGCTTTACTTTGATCATTTTTGTAGTTTTTTTTTTTTTTATTACCTTTGAAGTCCCAAAACCAAATTTGGGAAACACTAAGCAACAGTAATCAGCAGGGAGATATAGGCAGTCTAAACTCCTTTAAAATTTAACTAGTCGTTCTTCAGCAGTTGTTTTTCAGGCTTTCTAAAAGTCTCTCAGTTATTTGCTCTGGTTCTGTTTCTCATACAGGCCTCGAATCATGGCTATAAAAGTATAAAAAGTAGGAATATTTCAATTAGGGTGCATAGCAGGGTATTTTTACAATTTGTCCTGGAGTCAACATAGGAAACGTGGTGTTATGTTTTGCAAAACCCTATCCCTTTCTTTTCAGCAGGGAGGTTCTTTTTTACCGCAAAATTTAATAAAAAATTCTAAGTGATGTACAAATTATTTTCTAATAAAATAAATCTGTGTTTTTCCTTGTTTTTTTTTTTTTTTTACCACTATCCCAACCATGGTTTTAAAAACTCTGGCCCTGAATTGTCAAAATTACTAGGCTTAGAGCACTCAGGGCAACAACAAAACAATCAACAACAAAAAAGAAAAGCAGGCATATAGTTTACAGTATTTTTGATTTTTGTATCACTTTGCACTAGTATTTTATGGTATTCTTGGCAACTAAACTTTAAAAAAGAAATATCTCGTCTAGCATGAATCATATTAAGAAAACGTTTTGTAATATTTTTGTATGAGAGAGACACACATTAGTTTGCTGCTGTTTTTTTCTGCCTTTGTGTGAGCTACGCCTCAGGCTATTGACAATACACAGGTTGTGTTGCTGGGAGAGAGCTGAAGTTGAAACATCAGTAGCTGAATAAGGAACAATCCATGCAAAGTGTTCAAAAGTAAGTAGAACAGCTTTTTCTGGAAGCACACTAAAGTATGTAGTTAGCCAAGCCACTGTATATACAGGTGATATCCAAAGAGACTTTATACGCTAATGTAAGGCTAACATTTCAGCAAACATTCGAGGAGTTAACAGGAGCAAAATGGAAATTCAACTCTATTTGGGAAGAAAAAAGATGCCTTTAGAAAAATGGATGAAATAAGATGAAGCTGTGAATTCAGTAAAGGTAGTGTTGTGCTATATTCCATGATCGTGGGTTTGGACATTGGGAACCAGTGTCCATGTTTGATCTTGACATGATGACCAGAGAAGAGGATGCAGTTTTGGCTCATGGACCACCTGTGAGACCTCTCTTCTCTACTCTGCTCCCGCCTTTACAGCCATCTGGCTCCACACGGCAACCCGCTCCTACAGGTGTGACTTGCCACCCCCCTCTGTGCTGAGAACAGTAAAGACCACAGCACACAGAATTAAATCCGTTTTATCCTTTCTTTCTTTTGTTTTACAACTTGAGAAATGATGAAGGTTGAACAACAGCATCATGAAGGTGTTAGGAAATTTTGTTTGGAATGCATATATTTGTGTATCAGCGTCAGACTTTCCTGCAAGACCCGCCTTACCCAGACTCAAAACCTCTGCAGAAAATGAACTGTTATATGATAAGTTAGGGTCAGCTCTAGCCAGACATTGAAAAGTTGATGTTGCATAAAAACACATACTAACCAAGCACTGTTATGGGAAGAATCTCTCAGTGAGGATTAAAGTTTTTGCAGGGTGAGAATAAAAACATTCCTAACAGAATGACAGTGGGTTTGTTTTGACCAACAGTCAATAAAAAGCTAATATACCAAAGAAGGGAAGGAATTAAATATTCATAAGAGACCAGTGAGAAGTTAGTATGCGGGCTTCCTTGTCTGTCTGTTGCAGCCTGGCAGACAACATTAAGAAGAATAGAGAACATCTACCTCATGCAAAGTTCATACACATAATCCCCAAACTCTAGACAGACACAACATTTCATAAGGCAAACTTTGAACAGTCATGTGATGTTAGCTAGAACTAACATCTTTTCTCTGCACTGACCCTGCAGCCATCCTCTCTGAATGACCTTCCAATCTGCTACAAACTGAATTGTACTAAATAAAAGCATATATTCATAATCATCCCTATTATCCTCAGTAAAATGAGATTTAGCTCCATCGTGTTTTCTTTGTCTTTATACAAAAGAGCAAAAAAAAGATCTATTCACATTCAGCAGGGTAAAGCAGGCTTTCTGATAATTACTATTGAAACACAGTTCTCAGCTTTATTCCCTATTTTTAATTCTTCATTTCTGTCTCTTTCAGATCTTTCTTTGCAGACAAATGCTCTGCAGAAGCAACACAAAAAATGTTTTTTTTTTTTTTTTTTTTTTTTTATCGACAGATCTGGTGAACGTGTAGCACAAACTGAGCAGATAGAATAGAAGCATTGTGTTCTAAATTGTTGCCTTGTTCAGTGTGTGAAGAATTATAAACAGAACATGTTAACAAGAAATACCGTCTCACATAAACATTTTAAAATACATAAAACGAATATATTTTGAAGGAACTCTCTTTACATAAAATTGTTTAAACAATGTATTTGTAATAAAAAACAATTTGGGTGTTGTTTTACTGATTCTAGTGATGATTCACTAAAAGCTTTTTCACAGGTTTTTCTAACCTTTACAAGAAAAAGAGAGATTTATAGCTGGAAATGATAGGTTTGGTTCTGTGAACCATATCCTTGATTTATGGCTAAAGATGCACAGATATGTCATTTTAAGACAAAATATTAACCCTTGCTTATAAAGTCAAAAACAGGATTTCATTTATAAAGTAACCAAAACGATTATCTGCAGAACCTCAATAAATTGATTTTTTAATATATAAAATTACCCAGGATTCATGAACCACAACCTGTAATGTGTTTCATTGCAGTTTTATGTAACAGACCAACCTGAAGTATGACATAATAGTATAAACAAAGCACCACAATATTTCAACATGGTGGTAGAAGCATAAAAAGTTGAGGAGTATGCCAGACCTTGCTCCCTCCTCGCTCTGAATTCTATAAAGGAAGCCATTCATATTCTGATGGACAGAGCATCCATATGTACCGGATATTTGTCCACTACCTCTCCTCTTTTCTTCTTTCATTTCATCACATCTCCCTCCCTTCTTCCTCCACATGGACACCTTGACCCTCGGCCTCTCTCCTCTGGGCTCCAGGCGAGTCAGCTCCCTCAGCTCTGGCATCTTGGCCTTCTTCCTCCCTGTCCCCTGCTCCCATCTCCTCCACAACATGATCATCCTCCTCCGCCCTCTCTCCCTCCTCCTCCTCGTCATCCTTCTCGCTTCTGTCTGAATCTGACTCATCAGAGTTGTCCTCTTCCAGGTAGCGGTAGCCTTTCACCTGAGGGTAAAAACATAAGCTTTTATTTTTACTCTCCACTTAGATGTTTTACAATCCAACCATGATTTACAAGACCTCAGCCGCTCCTGCACAACTGAGTTTACAGATTTTTTTAGATGTTCATAACAAGGTATAAAAACGAAGAAAATAAAGTCACTAAATTAACAGGTCTAACATAAAAAAAACGGCAAATGATTCAATTAATTTAATTGTCTTAGATTATGTCCTTAAGGTTTTATTACAGTAAATGGAAGACTATATTGTTTCTGTTTAGATAGGATAAATACATTTACTTCTTAATAGAGGCGGGAATGATAAGTAAAATTTTTTTTTTGCTTTAAAGGCTGCCTTGCTCAGTCACAATTTTAAAGCCAAACATCAGTACTTTAAACCCCTTTTTCTAATGAGCATGTTTAGGGTAATTGTCCATTAGGAACACCCATTTTCACTAAAGATTCAACTACATAAAGATGTTTTGGGATGTCTCTATATTTCCAATTAATGATCTTTTCTAATGATGCACCGGTTCCTTCAATGCAAAACAGCACTTCAACATGATGCTGTCTCGCTGTTGTCCACAGATCGCCTCACATTTGCCCACTTTTCATCCCCTTTAAATATAACAAACGTTTTACCCCAACACTTCAATTTTAGTTTTATCAGACCAGAAGTCATGTCTCACACATTCCCTCAGCCTCATGGGCATTTCTCCTAACCCTAATCATAAAGTCAACTACCAGCTTCAGCAAATATCTTTGCAAATAATTTTTTCCTCTCAAGTTGTTATGAAAATTCCCCAAAACATGTCTCTCCATATTCTAATAAAAATAATAATTTTAATAGAATTATTAATATTTGCATTTTATTGTTGGTCAGCGCTGTTGCAATACATTGTTGCCGATCTCACCCAAACTACACCACTCTAAAGACACACCCCTCCGGCGGAGGTTTTAAAAACACTAGCTTCCCATATTAGCATCCTATTTTGCTGGTGGCTCTGCGCCGCTAACGGCTAGACAAAAGTTTGGTTGCTACGTAGCAACCAAACCCCTCAGGAGAAGGGGTTTGGTTGTCAGAATGCCCTTTTTATGTGATTCAGAAGGAGCTAAACACAGTGTTGTTATTCATCCTGCGATTCAAACCGAGTGAACGCAGTGTATCCTAAATTCTGCTGCAGCAGACACAGAGCAGAGCTAATCCAGGTTTGCTAACTGCCGAACAAACGGGAACCTGATCACTGTTCGCCATAGGAGCCGTTAGATGCCGCCGGACCATGACTGCCTGAGGTGGAGCAGCGCCGAAGGAATGCTGCTAGAAGCTGCGACTACGTGCTAACCACCGTAGCTAAATGGGACTAGTCCTGTGCTACCATGAGTTATAAAATCAACCCCTTATTGTTACATCGGATTGATCAAAATCTCTTTGAGTTGCTGTTGGACGAATGGACTGGACTGAAGACTGGTCTGCAGAAAACCGGACTGAGCCGAAGGCCTTCACTCCACTGAACCAAAACAGTTATTGCATCCTTCCCCCTTCTTTCCATGATGCTAAATAAGTGCTCTGCTTGTGTGAACTAGGTAGACTAGATAGCCGTGTTTGTGTTTTTATTTGAAATAGTCTTTCTGATTCAACTGCTGATGGTTTTAAAGGTTTAACTGAATGCTAATGCTCACTACAGACAGAATGAGTCACGTGTCGCTGAAGTTAACTGATACATCGTGAGCTAGCCCTCTCTGTGTTTCAGTTGGACCCGACCGGAACCAGAACCCCTCAGGCCAGCTAAGCTAATGGGTCTTTTAGTCTCATCATAGTTTAATGGATTCCTGAGTCATTATTCATTTTAAAAAAAATTGAATGAAACTTCACTGTTTTGACTGCAGTTAACATCCGTGTCAGGTTTCATTTACATTTTATCTGCTGCTATTACAAAGGACACTATTAATTACATTAAGCCTTAACTTCGAACATCACCCGGACTATGAACGGACTTTTAAACCCCACCTCCCCTTTTATTTCTTTAATTTTGCTTATTTTCAGTAGTGTTTGGTTTTGTTTAGTTATAAGATATAATACTGTGTGATTGTAGCTAATAAAGGTACCATTGTATTTTTAAGCCGTGGTCTTTTGTATTCATTTTACATAGTGAATGATTTATCACTCAGGCTGGATTCGCTCTTCTTCTGTAGCATTCGAATGAACAGAGAACCATTTATTTGGTCGGTGATTAATAACGTTGCTAAGAGTAAGCAAACAAATTCAGTAAACAAGTTACAGTTATATTAATTCAACTGATAATAAAACACTAGCTTTACCCTTGATTTGAATGACCTATTGGCACAACAGCACTTTTACCTTTTTTTACTTTAACTGTGGAGTAAAGACTTTACATGTTCTGTTCTCCGTTTGCGTTTCACACAGGAAGTTTATTAATGTTGCGCAGCCTCCTACCTCCTTTCCTGTGTTGAACATTATTAGCTTCTGTTTAAATGAAAACACATTTAGAACATTTGATGACTTGATGTGTGCAGTACGTTTTTTGTTAGATGACACAATCACACTGTGCTGATGGCACCACTGATCTCTATTTATTCACTGAAATGCTGATAGCCCATTGTTAGCCACCGGTCGCCATATTGTTACTCCCTGGTTAGACTGGTCGCAATGTAAACAATATCTGCGCTAAAGCATCTAACAAAGATGATATTCTCATTTTCAGGGGGGGCTTAAGACTTATGAAATAAAGATAAATTTATCACTTGGACACAAGTGATGAAGTAGATTACTGTAATTTATGATTAAAAAAAAGGCACTTTACATTGCATAGTCATTATGAAGTCTATAAATCATGTCATATGAAATATTAGACAAATCCATCACAAAAAAATTCATGTATTAATTGAGCATAATAATACAGAAGTGACAAAAGTTCTAAATTGGTGATGTACATGAAATATACATGCCTTGATGACATTGTTATGGTAATTACATATTACATATTACGAATTTCACATCAAGACTGAATTAGAAGTACATGTCTGGTAATGCTACTGTATTTGCCTATTTGCAAATTGTGCATGCATGATGCCATATACTTTAATGCTCTGTCTCTGCATTAGCCTTTCAAAGAAGGTTTGAGTTGCTTTTTTCCCATCAATATAACGTGCAATATATTTCAGCACATGACTTTTTCAAATGAGAAATACAACAAACACAACAAAAACGACAGCATCCTCCACTTAATAAAGAATAACGACATTGACATTTCACAGTCAATTACTTTCTATTTACTCTACTTTATATTTTCTAACGTTAGACACAATGTCATTGGCTAACTCAGTCAATGTCATCGAGTCGGTCTGAGATAGCCAGACTAATGTTACGCTACATACTATACTATGGGATAGTGTATATCTGTGTATATATGGATTTTCTTGGTTGGTACATCCACTGACTGTGAGATTACCTGTGAAACATCTTCCCATAGCCCGCAAACTGCTTGTACTTGCAGCCAAATGCTACACACATCGCCATTTTAATGGATTACCGGGAGTGGAGAGTGGAGAGTACCAATATGGCCGCTGGTAGCTTCCCTTTTTTCGGGCTATCAGCAATCCAGTGAATTAATAGAGATCAATGGATGGCGCCATTAGTTTCCCTACCCAGGACTGACTAATCTGGGTTAAAATAAGAAGTTATCTACTGCACGAAAGATATAATATACTTTTAACATTTTTAACAAAACCTTTTTTTTATGCTTTCCATTTAAATATGTGCCATCAAGCAAAGAAATGGTAATATTCAGAAAATGTAAAAGGATTTAGTCAAGGCTGAACTTCTAATTGCAGGAATATTAGAGTTAAAAATAGTATCATCCAGATTTAGGATCAATTCATCCAAATAACCAAAATAATTTAAGGGCTTAAGTTTGGGTGCAGGGTGGTGGGTTACCTTGTGGCGTGGCCGTGGGATTCGGGGCATCCTGTGCTGCACTTTCTGTGCCACGCGACGCTCCATCACCCAATAACAATAGCACGCCAACAACAAAGTGGCCAGCAGGATGGACAGTTTAGCCTAAAGGCCAAAAAGGAAAAATGTCAAGGAACTATTTTAACACCCAAGATACATGGAGGCGAAAACTCTGACTAAAATGTACCCTCATGGGCATCTGAGACCAAAGATAGACAACAAAGATGGCGATGGCCTGCCACCAGTGATAGATGGTGTAAACGAAATCCAGACGTTCTTTTTCCTCAGCGTACAATATGCCGATGACAGCTGAGGGCACACAGACAAGGTTAGGGGTAAAAGAAATTATTGATAGAGCATAGATACATTTATAGAACAATGCCATAAATAAATAAAAAAAATAAGAGAATATTCATGTTTTCTATGCTAACCTTTTTATCTCTATATTATTGAAAGGACTGCTGCAGCTCTCTATATACAGTGATTGATGACTGTCCTCTGCTTCATCTATGGCTGCTCTGAAACGTCATCTGACTGGAAAAAGGACTGTTTACCTGTATGATTTATGATTGTCTTAAAGCTTTTACTTGTTTCTGAAAGGTTTAAACACTGCTGACGTATTGGAGCTTTTAACCCTTTAAAGCCTGATCCAAGTATAAAACAAAACTGTCAAGATTTGAAGGTGTAAAAAACATAACAGAAACAGAAACCTAACAAAAACAGAAAATTACATTTTTTTTGGTTTGAAGTCCTTATTTGGACTTTTAACAAAATATGTAAAAAGAAAAAACAGATATAAATTTTTGATATTAATAATTTATTACTATGCATTAAGTCAAGATTATTTTTTGTGTAGTCTTTTGCCCTCTGTTATCAGGTATATCTGATTGTGTACAATAGGGTTTTGAGCAAAGTTTTTACCATTAAATTATGCAAAAGGTGTCAGACGCAAAACATTTCAGTATCAAATATGATACATTTGGCATTACAGGGTTAAACAAGCCTCTTCCCAGTAAACTCTGCCATCAGGTAAGCTGCTGCTGTCAAATGCTCCAAGACTCATCATGTGATTCGAGGAGATGGAGCCTTCAATTTTCAATGATAATCAACTTATTATAAGGATGGCAAATACCAGGAAAGATTATAAATGTCCTTTAAAACTCTTCTTTTTAATTGGGCTTTTATTCCCATCAATCAACTTTTATCAACAGTTTTTAATTCGTTGACTTGTATTGTCTTTTAATTGCTCTTATTCTGTTACTTTGCTGTAGATGTTACATTTTAAGGCCTTTTTTATGTTCTTGCTTGTTTTTATGGAGCTGTGCACTACTTCCATCATCATTATCATCATCATCATCATCATCATCACAGCTGATACTCACTGCTGACACCTGCTTTGTTCAGGGCGCTGCCGAGTCCCCAAAGCACCATGATCACCAGCAGGGGGCCCAGATACTCTGGTGAATTAGGCTTAACAGACAGAGCGAGGAGGACCACCAGCAGGATCCCGTGCACCACAGCGCCCCCCATTAGACACACCCATCGTGGTAGGCGTAGGAGGCTGAGAGAGAGGAGGGAGAATACGGAGCAGGAGAGGCCGTAGACCACGATCAGGATCCAGAGGCTCTTTAGGCCCAGAATACAGACCCCATAGGACTGTGGGGGAAATAGAATCATGGCATTAATTCCCAAAAAAATCAGACTATCTCTGTAACTGGCAGGTTACTGTAGAAAGTCAGTGTAGTTCAGTACCAGTGAGAACCCGCTGATAACGAACAGCATTTCCAGTCCGCTGTAGATGAAAAAGGGGCAGAGCAGCCGCAGGCGATAATCCCTCAGGTGTTTAAAAGGAAGTTGGAAGATGTTCCCCCAGCCGATGCTGCGGAGGTCGATTTCCTCTGTTGGCCGGTAGGCAGGGCCACAGAGCAACAGGAACTATGGGGGGGGGAAGGCACATCTGAAATACACTGAGTAAATCATAACTCGACTCCTAATCAGAGGAGTTTGGACTGTGTGGAAGACACAGTCAGAAAGACAGGAGCTCTTAGCTGTTACTTTTCAACACAGTCCATCTTAATACTATTTTACAACTCGAATTACTTCACATTTAGACACTGCTCAGTTTATCACCATTAAACAGTATAATATAACTAGAAGATATAAATCTAATTGGCCGGTATTTAATCAGAGAAGCGGCCAAGAGGCCAAAGCCATCCATGAAAGAGTTGCAGATGCCCACAGCTCAGATGGGGGAATCTGTTAAAGAAGAATGAAAAAGCCAGAAGAAAGGATGTTTGCAGTTTGCAACAGGTCATATAGAAACACAGCAGTAAACCTGTTGAAGAAGCTGGTCAGATGGGACCAAAATAACAGTTTCTAGCATGTATGAAGAATGCAATCCCCCTCGCCCAGAACACACTTTAAAACATGGTGGTGGCAGCATCATGTGGTGGGCCTGCTTTAATTCTGCAGGGACAGGGAAGCAGATTAGAGCTGAACGGAGGATGGATGAAGGTAAATAAAGTTCAGAAATACGCTCTACTTTCTGATGGTTTATCACATAAAATACCTACGCTGAAGTTTGTGATTGTAAAAAGAAAAAAAAAACAATACTTACAGCATTATTTCTACTTTCTAGATCCTAATTATATTCTAATCAAATTTCATTTTCTTTCTTGGCTTTTTCAGTGACCTTATTAGTGCAAACAACAAGAAATTATGCTTCTGTTAGACAATATATATAAAGACCATATTATCTACAGATCGTAACAGGAACTGAATCTAGGATGTAGTTCTGAGGGGAAGGGAAAGACTGAGCAGTAAATAGTCAAATACTTAGTTGTTCGTCAAAGAGTAAGTCTATAATTAAAGTCCTTTTATGGTTAAAAAAACAACCAAAAGATGCATTTAAGGAATAACCTGAATGTTTCCTATGCTGAGCTCTTACGATAATCATGGAGAGGAAGGCGAAGCCCATCAAGATGCTCTCCACCTCGATGAGCAACATGGAGCGCGGCAGGTTGGTCAGCACTGTGCTGTTGAAGCCTGGGATGATACCTCTGATTGCAGCGCCTGAATGTCAGACAGAAAGGATTCAAAGTTTTAGGCGCAGCAGGTAGTTTTTAGGCAAAACCATCCAGAGATTTTTCCAACAAGTTTCCAAAAGTAATAAAAGTTAGTTTTAGAATACGTGGATTGTAAGGATAACAAACAAAAAAAAAGGGGAAACTATCAGGATTTTAATGACAGGTCACACTTTGTGTTGTTTTTTTTTGTTGAATAAACAAGAGGAAAAGCGACAAAATGTACTTCCACTCGAAATCATCTCAACTACCTCTTTTTAGAAACATACAAAAGCCGCTTTAGGCGACACACTAATACAAACGTGAAGCTTTCATTGTTCAACAGGTTTCTACCACTGGGACGGTACTGTAGATGTTAAACCCAAAGCAGCAGCAGAAATATCTCAAATCATGATCTGGCTGCAAACAAGTTTCTTAGCAGCAGAGTTTCATTTCCTCATGAAAAGGGGGTTTTGAACTGGAGAATTGAATATAAGGAAATCTACCAAGTGGGCTGGGGAGTTTGAAGCACTGCTGCCTAACAGCAAGAAGGTCACGGGTTCAATTCCCATCCTAAGGTCTTCCTGCATGGACTTTGCATGTGTGTTAGTGGTTGTATGTCTCTGCCCTGCTACAGACTGGTGACCTGCTCAGGGTTTACCCCGCCGTTCGCTCATAGACTGCTGGAGATAGGCACCAGCCGCACCACTACCCTGACGGATAAGAGGAAGCAGATGGGTCAATCAAGATTTGCAATCCAAGGTTAAATTAAGAAAAACAAGAAGCCCCTTGGCATGAGGCAAAAATACAAACCACCGTAAATGTAACTGCCTCATAGCCCTCAGTAGTCACAGATAGATAAATTCTTAGCTGGGAAAGGTCTCTGCGTCTCTATTTAGAAGTTATTCAGATTAAAGGAGAAGTTCGGTTTTTTACACTTTAAGCCCATTTTCTGTAGTGTCCAGGATGAAATCGAATGATCGACACCAAAAGTTTGACAATTGCTCCTGTCTCTGCTTTTTGGCTCATTTAGAATCACCCCCTGGCTGCTTTAGAATGGCTAGCATAGAGCATGTCCGATAATGTCCTTAAAACAACCTTAAACGTTCTTTTTTTAAAATATGCTACTCACCGTGTCGTCAGCGCTGTTCAATGACGTTCCAAAAAAAGTTTCGTGAAGAAAAAACGTTCCTGTAGTGTTTTATTTAGCATTTTGTAAATCCCATTGAGTTCTGTAGGAATAGTCAATATTCCCCTGCCACCGGAAACGGAAATGGAGCCTGTTTACACAGTTGTAGTCTTTTCGCTTCACTCTGTGTACTCCGACGTCGAGAATCAAGAATCCACCTTTCGTATTCCATTTTCAGAGTTTTTTAAAGTGTTTAACAGAGACGTTAGCACCTCGACGTCGGAGTACACAGAGTGAAGCGAAAAGACTACAACTGTGTAAACAGGCCCCATTTCCGTTTCCGGTGGCAGCGGAATATTGACTATTCCTACAGAACTCAATGGGATTTACAAAATGCTAAATAAAACACTACAGGAACGTTTTTTCTTTACGAAACTTTTTTTGGAACGTCATTGAACAGCGCTGACGACACGGTGAGTAGCATATTTTTAAAAAAGAACGTTTAAGGTTGTTTTAAGGACATTATCGGACATGCTCTATGCTAGCCATTCTAAAGCAGCCAGGGGGTGATTCTAAATGAGCCAAAAAGCAGAGACAGGAGCAATTGTCAAACTTTTGGTGTCGATCATTCGATTTCATCCTGGACACTACAGAAAATGGACTTAAAGTGTAAAAAACCGAACTTCTCCTTTAACACGGCATATATCAATTCAAAGGTTTACAGAAACAAAGGACGGTACAACAAAAACACACTTTAAGACATAAAGGAACTATTCTCAGAAATGTAAAGTAAACCCATTCTGGTTTTCACTTAACAGAGTTGGGTTAGGGCATTATTAGCCATTATTAGCCTTAACTAGATAAAACCTGAAATGAATCTACAATCTCATTCTAAAGAGGAAGATAGCAGCCTCAATAATTGATATATCAAAGAATATATATAAAAAAAGATAAATTCATTAATCTTGTTATCCTGGCAGGGCCCCTGATGCTTGTTTAGCTGTCAAAGGGCGAGAGGCAAGGCACAAAGAAACGGTGTCTTTTTTTTTCTTCTTTTTTTTTAACCAGGAGTGCTAATAAGTGTGGAAGATGTAGAAAAAAGTTAGAGTTCATGGAATAAATCTAGAAACTTGTAAAAGCATTATAGAATAACATGATACTCTGTGTTTTTACTTTCTGAGCAGAGGTAAATTCCTCGGTCCCCAGTGGAAATGAGGTGTGTTTACCGCATGTCTTCACATTGAAGAGGATGTGTGGGTTTTCATGCAGGTGGTCATGGAGGACGAGACGCATGGGGAACTCAGCGAAGACGAAACTCAGCTGATGTGGAAGAAAACATATGACATACAATTCAGCTGATTTCTTCTTTTTCTTCAGAGTCAGTTTTGTAACTGAGGTACTGTGGGGGGGGAGGAAGAAACTTACACTGAAGATGAAGAAGAAAACTGACTGGAAGACGATGACATAGCTGTGACACGCCCCCTTTGGAAGCTTTCTCTGCTCCTGCACATGTTCCTCCTTGTAGTTGGCGTACTCATAGTACTGCTGGGCCATCCTACAGAGGAGGGAAAAGGTGTGATAACATGAGCTTAAAGAGAAAAAATTAAATGCCATTTTCAAAACACAGGTAGATAAAATGGGACTTTTCCAGAGACTACCGGTAATATAAAAAAAACAGTTGTCAAAAAAATAACAGTAGAGGTATATGATTGCACAAACATGACCTTTTTGACAGCTAAAGCGGTGATCATGTAAAATAATATAACAATATAGTCAAAATGCATTTACAAAACAAAAACTTAACCTCTTGATGAAAAACCAAAATTTGCAAAAAGTCATTTATGGTGCAAAACCTTTAACCCTTCTGAAATGGGTTGTGTTCATTTATTGCTGAGTTCCACAACTGACAGCCTTCATAGAAAAGGACATTTACTCCATAAAGAGACCATAATTCTCACACTAGATGCACCATAGGTCATTGACCCACAGTGGAGAATTCTCTTTGCATATAGGAAAGCTAAGCCTCCCCTGTAAATTTAGTAAAGTTATTGGTAAAATATTAAATATTAATGTATTAAACATGTGCTAAAATGCATCTGATTTAATGAATATTGTGCGCTTTAATCAGCTGTTTATTCCGCTATCCTGTGTGGTGGACCAGCAGGACGCTGGCAGTCAGACTCTGAGAAATCCCTGTTGAGGTTTAAGCCTCGCTCTACTGAAGTAAGCAGCAAGAAAGTAGAGCCCCGATTAAATAAAGCGGCACAAGATGTCACTTCAGGGTAAGTCTTAACCTCCTAGAGGGTCTTGCTCCTAAAGAACATGATCCTGAAATGCCCAAATAGGCTTCCTGTCAACCACTCTCATCATTTTCCTTGAACCCCAGTCGGCCTCAGCAGATGGCTTCTCACACTGAGCCCGGTTCTGCTGGAGGTTTCTTCCTGTTAAAAGGGAGGTTTTCCACTCCACTGTCGCTACAAGCATGCTTAGTGTGAGGGATTGCCTTCGATACAATCAACTGGTTTTCCTTAGATAGAAATCTTTGAACCAATCTGACTGTATGATCTGGTTGAATGGTCTAAAGTGCCTTGAGACGACGTGTTGTGAATTGGCACTATATAAATAAACTGAATTGAATTGAATGTGGAAAGGATCTTTATAGTGCTAAAATGTCATGCTTTAAAAAGGTACCACATTTTGACAAAAGCTCACTGAAGGAAACTGCATGAAAGAGTCATTCAGGGTTGAAATGTTGTGAAAGGGCAGAGAGCGGGTAAGAGGAAACTACTTTATCAAAAAAACTTTAGAAAAATGGAAATCTCTTCTTTTATGCTCAAACGCTACAGCACCTAAATAGAAAACATTGAGGAATAAGAGATATGGATGGTTTATACAGTGAAGGTTTATTTTCCTTTCTTCAGACCCCTGTCTTCATGGATCCAAAAGGGGGGTATCGAGTGCTACTATTGGTAGCTATCCTCCAAGGAGAAGCATTAGCGAGGAGATAAGATGATACTTTAAAAAAAAATGCAACTTATAGTTTGACTCAGGGGGACCATCATATTAAACCAGCTCAATGTCTAATATTTAAACCATGATGGTCTTAGCAGATTGAACTAATTTTAGATTTAAGGCATCTGCTTCCTTATCCGTCTTGAGGGCCATTTTATTTATACTAGTACTTTAAAACGAACCGAATGGTTCATAGGAAAGTGTTTTTGATGATTTTTGTTGTGAGCACCTATAAACTGTAGAAATAATCAAAACGCCTAGAATGACTGGGATGGATGTAACAGATCTCAGACTTGTGCTTTATACAGTATCTTGGAATCACCATCTTTAAATAAATTTGAACTGTAATTTGTCATTTTGGCCTTTTTTTTTTTTTCCTCATGAATTATCAACCATTTTCAATGTTCCAAACTCCTTTCATTGCAAAACACCGAATAATACCGATTCAACAATGAAAACTAGATTTAACCTCACATGATGTAGAGCTCTCAGATACAGATAAAACATGAAAAAATTGCGATTGCACCTTTGTGGAGGTCCATAATATTTGGTGGATAAAAACAGATACATATATCAGCTGATTCTGCATCACCCAAGGTAAAGGAAATGGGCAACATCAAAGTGATGGCAGTCACATCCACATTTTACGAATCCAACTGAATCTAGAGCCAAAGATCTTCTCAGCTCTCTGTAGCTCACCTTGTGATATAACTTCCCAGAGAAGCCCAAAAAGGTACGATAGCCACACCGATGGCTACAGCTGAAGGCACTAACGTGTAGTACCGCTCCCAGTAGTTGGTTGAGACGAACAGCGCATAGATTCCTGACGCTAGAAACATCATCCATTTAGTACCTAGAAACCTAAAAAAGACATCAAAATGAATGCAATGGAAGAAAAAAACGTTCCAATAAAAGTATTTGTATTTACATTATGTCTATGTGAGTCTACCTGATGAGTACGGGGGTGTAAAGGAGGCCGATGATAGGGGTCACATTAATTCCCATCAGCATCTTCCGATCGATGTCCTCAAGTCCAAGGTTGCTGTACTTCACCTCACGGTATGTCATGTCATAATGAAGGGTCAACTGCATCTGCAAAAGACCTGCAGAAAACACACAAATGGATGGATGGATGGATGGATGGATGGATGGATGGATGGATGGATGGATGGATGGATGGATGGATGGATGGATGGATGGATGGATGGATGGATGGATGCTGACCCATATAAACACTGTACACAATCATAGCTCCAATGCTGCTGGCCACAACATTCTTGATGACTCCCAGCCTCTTCCTTCTATAGTACTTCCTCTCCTCCTCCTCCTCGTTGTACTGTGCCTGTGGGCCTAGAAACTCCTCCATCTGAGCAGAAAAATGAGGTTACATCAGCAGCCATCTACGTCAAGGAGGAAACATCCTTTACTGATTCTGAGCAGAGCTCACCTCTCCCTGCATGTTGTCCTCCTGTCCCACATCATGCAGTTCATTCACACCACCATTGGGAGGCGCTACAATGTGCTCGGCCTCTTCAATGAGCTGATCTTCCTCAGTTCCCTCCATCTATAGGCACCACAGGAGGGCAGTATGTAAGATTAAAAAAACAGGTCAACTCAAATCCACCTACTTATCATCAAAATAAATCAAACTACAATAAAAATAGCTACTTTTCATTCTTTAAAAGCCCAATCTGATGGTGTCTCATCAGTTATAATCGTGTTTTTACTATGAAAGGTATCAGTAAAACTAATAGTAATCTATCCAGTTGTTTTTTAATGATTAACATAAAAAACCACATAGTATAATTAACATATCAGAAATTGATATATCAAAAACCATTCTCATTTAGCTTTTTGAAAACATACCTATTTGCATGAAGATCAGGAATTTTATGAAGAATAAACCTGACTAGGTGTGCAAATGATGTTACAGTGCTATTAAATGTTTCATTGTAAACACTTGTTAAATCAGTACTTTTTTCATAGTTTTTCCTTTCAAACAGAACCAGATTTCTGAGGTCTCACGTGAGATTTCACTTTTCTTTATAAGGCAGAACAACAAATACAGAAAGGTAGATTCATTTGGCCAATTTTCCTGTTCCTAAGATTTACAACTAGGTTGTTAACTCACGTATTTAATTATTTGCTCTCCTCTTTCTAATTAAATAATAGACAAATAAATGGTAAACGGCCTGTACTTATAAGGCTCTTTTTCAATTCAGGAGACTTGACCAATGCAGTCTACACTACATTCAGTCATTCACCCATTCAGGCACACACTCACACACAGATGGTGGCAAACTACAGTGTAGCCACAGCTGCCATGGGGCTCACTGACAGAAGCCAGGCTGCTGAACACTGGCGCCACCAGGCCCTCTGACCACTATAAGCAGGCAATGCGGGTGAAGTGTCTTGCCCAAGGACACAACGACACTGAAAGCTGGAGCTTGAACCGACAACCCTCGGATTGCAGGGCGAACTCCTGCACCCGACGCCACTGTCGCCCCACTAATGGTGAGTTAAATGAATTGTAAAGTAATCTGTAATTAAATGACATAAAGAAGTTATTCTATTCTGTTTTAACTATTATTCATGCAGGTCATGCTCTCCAAATGATCTTACATGTTTTATCGGCTTTCCTGTGTTCTTATTTCGCTGTTTGTCTAAAGATGAGAAAGACTAAAACTGTGTTATGTGGTTGTTCTTTTTACGAGCGTTTATTCACAATTTTCCTTGGTCATAAAACACTCTGAGACCTGTTGTTATAGCCTATTTAGATTAGATTTATATTTAGTTTAAACATATTAAATTGGGGCTGTACAGTGGGTAGCACTGCTGCCTTGTAGCAAGAAGCTCCGGGGTTTTTTTGTATGTTCTCCCTGTGCATGCGTGGGTTCTCTCCGGGTACTCTGGCTTCCTCCCACAGTCCAAAAACATGACTTGTTAATTGGTTACTCTAAATTCCCCTTAGGTGTAAGTGTGCGTAAATGGCTGTTTGTCCTCTGTGTCTCTATATTGCCCTGCAGTAGACTGGCGACCTGTCCAGGGTGTACCCCGTTTCTCGTCCATTCAGATGGGTGGCCGAAAGTAGATAAGCGCCAGAACCTCAGGGTCAATCTACACCGTTCCAACAGGAATATTAACAAGCAAAACATCCATATTCGCTGAATAAAGACTAACTATATTTTCTTGCAGCCTTTCCTCACAAATAGGTGCGTATATTTCCTATATTTCAACATCCGTGCTTTCTAGATTGAAGTTATAGTGGAAAAAATTCTTTCAGGTTAGAGTTCTGGGGCGAACATCTTTTCCATTGTCATAACTTATCTACTTATATCAATAATAATTATGCATAAAACTGATATTTACAAGCACTAATATCTACATAAACTGATTATTTAATACATTTTTACTAAAATAGTTATTATTTCACTGAAGACTCCTAGATGACTTGCAGACACCTCACTTTCTCTGTACCCCATATAACACAAAATCTATTTCTGCTTGAACTTTTTACTTATTATCTTTAATGTTAGTATATTAATGTGCTTAATTAACCACAGTGTTTTTATTGTCAAGTAATTGTTAATATATGAAAAATTTAAATGTTTTGAATATTCCACTTGAGAGTATTACTGCTGCCACCATCTGTATTAGAGTGAAAAAAAATGGTAGGGGTGGCCACAGGGTGGCCAATGATTGGTAAAGGGGGGCCATGGCCCCCTCTGGCCCCCCATCTAGCTCCGCCCCTGAGCCCATTGACACCTGGAGATATGCACCAGCACCCCTCGCCAAACCTAGCAGGGATTAGCATGTCAGAAAATGGATGGATGGATATTTAATTGACAGGACAACTCTAGGCTCAGAAAAGATCATAAACAAGATATTTATGTTTTTACTTCTAAAAGCATAAAAACATCTTTAACAATATCAATTAAAATACATGGGAAACGTTTTTTCAGAATTTTTCAGACCTTTATTAGTAAATTCATTTCCTGAAGTCCCTGAACACACCACCCAACAAGAATAAAACACAGGGGTGGTAGCATCATGCGATGGGAATGTTTTGGGGGGGTTTTTTATGTAAAGGAGGCTGAATACAACTGCATGCCAAACTGTGCATATTTTATCATAAACTACAATACAAAAAAACAAGCACCACTTCCCTTGTATGGCCCAATGATGCCCTATTTGTGTCAAAATATCATATATATATATATATATATATATATATATATATATATATATATATATATATATATATATATATATATATATATATATATATATATATATATATATATATATATATATATATATATATATATTTTTTTTTTTTTTTTTTTTTTTTTTTTTTTTAATTCAGTGATGATAAATGGTGAAAAAGTTCAAGAGCATTTTTACAAAGCACTGTCTATGAGGTTAAAGTCTGTGTTAGAAACAAACCAAAGATCAGAACCCATCAACATCATGAATCAATCATGTTAATATCCTACCTGGAATATTTTCAACAAACAAAGAAACAAAGTATTGTTGCTGTGTTTCCCAGTCGCAGAATTCAGAAATATAATATTTCAAATGGGTTGATCATCAAAGTTTTTTACTAGATCTATACAGAAGTTATTTAGTTTTGACTTTCAGGTTTATGAGGAAGTAATTATCTAATTTTAACATGTCACATAATGCTGAAGTATTTCACACATATAACAGCTACTTCCTCATATTGAATAAAATATGTTTTATAGTTCAATGCAATAATTGAGAATTACTGTAGCATAGTAAATTCTCTGGGAACAAAAGTAAAGTAACAAAAGAAAGAGTTAGTCTGACTTTAGTTATTACGCTGTAATAATATGTGCATACCAGCTTAAAGCCTGAAACCAGTTTCACCATAACACAGAGCAGCTTCAGGTCATAGTCTAAGGCTTGTTTTCCAAAAAAAAAACCTTCATATTAATACGTGTTTGTTTGATCTTCTGCAGACAGTAGAAAAGCACTCACCTTGTGGGTCTGGAGAGTCTCCTGAAGAGTGAGCAGAGTCCACCTGCCAGCCGCTGACAGGCGGAAACCTTCCGCTGCTTCTAGTCTCGGTTATTTGTTTCTTCCCCTTTCTGAAGCACAGGCTTCTACTGTAGGTAAAAATAAAAAAGTTTCACGGGGGAAACGAAAGTTTGGCTTCTCACTTCCTCACTGCTTCACCCGGTCCGTCTTAAAGGCGCAGATACCCGCATTGACAGAGGCGTAGCCAGGACAATTTTATAAGGGTGGCCAATAACCAATGTAGACAGAGGGCCGAAAGCGGATAGGCACCAGAACCTCAGAGTCAGTCTACACTGTTCCAACAGGATAATTAAAGAGCAAAACATCCATATTTTCTAGATAAAGACCAACTATACTTTCCCACAGCCTTTGCTAACAAATAGACAAATATGTTCAAACACCCGTGCTTTCTAGATAGAAGGTATAGAGGAAAAAAATTCTGTCAGGTTTGAGTTTTGGGCAAACATCTTTTCCATTGTCATTACTTACCTACTTTTATGGAGGACCGATCCTGCCATAATTAAAAATACGTACAGAAATAAATGAAGGACTTAATAATATAAAATTGCTTGAAAAAGTGTAAAATCATTATGAGACAAAAATAAAAGCATCTTTTAAAAATGTTGGTGGGAATAAATATGAAAACATAAAAAAGGTTGCAGTGGAAATACGGAACAAAAAAAACCCACTTGCAATAAATACACAAAGACAAAATAAAGACTTCAATAAAATGTATAACAGAAAAGAAGTAGGTTAAAAATAAGTCAGCATAAAAGCAAGAAGAAAAGTAAAAATAAAAGTGTAAGTTAAAATATATATTCTTTTATGAATAATTTATAAATTGTTGAAGAAATATCTTCTTTTTATTATTTTGTCACATTTAATGGCACACAAATTCATAATATTAGCTACTTTTTCAAGCAATTTTATATGATCAAGTCCTTCATTTATTTCTGTACATATTTTTAATTATGGCAGGATTGGTCCTCCATAACTTTTATCAGCAATCTTTCTGCATAAAATTGATATTCACAAGTACTAATATCTACATAAATTGATTATTTAATACGTTTTTATGAAAATAATTATTAATCTATGATTTTACTAAATGACTTGCAGAGACACATCATTTTCTCTTTACCCCATAAAACATAAAATCTATTTCTGCTTGAACTTTTTACTTATTATCTTTAATGTCAGTATATTAATGTGCTTAATTAACCACAGTGTTTTTATTGTCAAATAATTGTTAATATATGAACATTTTAAATGTTTTGAATATTCCACTTGAGAGTATTACTGTTGCCACTATCTGAATTAGATGGAAACAATGGCAGGGGTGGCCAATGATTGGCTAAGGGTGGCCATGGCAAACCATGGCCACCCCATCTAGCTCCACTCCTGTTGAAGAAGCCCTGCCTACTCAATGCAGAGCACCAAGGCAGGGACAGTCTGCTGCTAATGGTCTGTCAGGTTGTTGAGTTAGAAGCAGCTGCATGCTACACATTCACAGTCTGCTTAGAACCGGAGCTACATTTTAATTCATTAGAAAACGGTGTTAATATACTGTATTATTTAAAAGAGGGGGAAAAAAACTTGTTTCGGACATTACAAAAACAGAGATTTATTCCTATGAATGTCGATCATGGATGATAACCAATAAAATCCTTAATCCAGTTCATCTGATTAAAACATGATCAATAAAATGTTTTATTCTTAGTTGGGGTTTCTTTTCCTGGATTTACTAAATCTATAATGCAGAACTGTATAAATGTGGCTTTAAATAGGCTTGTGCTAAATTACCTCAATATAATTTGCATGGTCATCTTTCCACTGATAAAACTCTATAGACCTTTGTTGTCCATAATCCTTTAAACAGGTGTTAGTACAGGCTGTCCTGGTAGACCTCGACAACAGACTGCACTCTGGGTTCCTGAGCAAGACCCTTAACCCCACACTGCTCACCGAGCGCCGCACAATGTCAGCCCACTGCTCTCCAAGTGGATGGGTTAAATGCAGAGAATCCAAAAAAAATTAAAAATAATCCACTGGACTTTTTTTCCAAGTTTGAAGACATTTTGCTTCCCATCCAGGAAGCTTTTTCAATTAAAAATGTCAGAATTTCCGTTGAGTTCAAAGCTAATGCGAAATGAGCACAAAGCTTCGAACCCAACGCTATTTCTGACATTTTGAATTGAAAAAGCTTCCTGGATGAGAAGCGAAACATCTTCAAACTTGGAAACAAAGTCCAGTGGCTTGTTTTTCCCATTTTTTTTGGAAGGACTATGACCTGGATGACTGAGAATCTTAACCAGCTTAAATGCAGAGAGTTCATTTCGTTGCTCTGTACTTGTGGCAGTGTAATGACAATACAAAGCTGGGAAAAAAACGGACACTAACATTCCCTGACTGTTGAAACCTCACTCTGAACCTGAAGCAGTTTGGATTCTGTGACTTTCCTTGGTTTCCTATGCAGTGCAACAAATGTCATATTTACAAAGGACCAAACTTGGACCACTAGGCAGTTTTTCAGCCTTTTTTTTTGCCTCAGACAGGATGCTTCTCACATGCTCTAGCTCACTAGTGCCTTGCATAAGGAATGCCATCACTATGGTTAATGTGAAGATCTACAAATCACTAGAGCTTTGACTCTAGCTGCAGCCCAAACCTTGTAAATGTCTGTTAAGGGCTTTGTGACACTAAACTCTGAAGGCTGTTTCTTCTTCCAGTCAGTTTTAAAGCAACATAATTAAAGCGCAGCACGAACCACCAGGTTCTGGATTAATGCTCTATCGTAGCTCATCCCCATGGGGAACTTGACAATGATTGAGAATAAACTGTGTTGTGTTGTAGAACTAAGGGCCCCAATGGGAGTCAAAACTATTGAGCCAGAAAAATGTGAAATATAAAAAAATCTTTTTTTGCTTTAGTCAATTTAAAATATATTTTCAAGGAATATAAAAAAAAAAAAGTCAGACTTTTCTTATAAAACAGGATTATGGAAAAGGGTCTATAATACCCGTTTGGTCAAAAATCCTCTAAAACCTACCTTATTGATGTTTACTTCATTAGTTCTCATTAGGTCCCCTTGTTGTATTTAGCAAAGTCTAATGAAGGAATGCACACATTTTCTATTAGACTAAAATTGAACCAAAAATGTGAGTAGAAGACAAATATGCATTCTCCCATTAGTACGTTTTCACTTGTATTAATATGAATTGCTCCTCTGGTGCCAAATAATCACATTCCTGTATCGAAAATGATTTATTTTAATTGCTCTCATGTGACGCTCCACTTTTATGAGGCTGAATTCAATGTTTTTATTAGCTGTAAGCTACAATAACTGACATGAACAGGAAAACAAATGCCTCTATATTAATATGCCCCCATGTGTGATGAAGAAGCTCAATACTTCAACTGCATTTTATTTAAATCCTGACATCTTTAATCTTGGAGAGGTTTGGGAGCAATTCAGCTACTGGGAGGATAAACAGCCTCTACTGGTTTTATTTAGATTAATTAATAGCAGTTGCTGTAGTTTACACAAGGACACGTTAACCATGACGCACTCTGTGGTCCACCAAAGTCAGTGCAAGCAAAACAAAGAACAAAGTCCATTTTATACAGCAGCTTAGGAAAAAAAAAAAAGGGATAAATGTTGCAGTGTCTCAATTGAAAACATTTGATTTAAACTAATATGGGCAAAAAAAAAACAAAAAATACAAAACAGTTTTTTGATTTAGCTCAAAACTCCTTATATAAACTCAGCCTTATATATTGGGCTCCGAGGGCCCAATTCTCTCTACCATCAAACCAATCAACCCTATCCTAAATACATTTTTCCTAATCTGTTTCTATATTAACAAACCAGTGTCCTGATTTCTGTTATTTACTAGAGAAATGGCTGGAAATACTCTCTGGAGGAGATCAGATCTACCTGGACGGTGGCCGTCATGTCTGCTGAGCAGCAGTTTAGAACAGATTAAATCCAAGAAGAAGAAAACATCAAAAACAAAACACAGACCATTTTAAGCTATTTATTAACATTTGTAGTTGTGGGTAGGGTGCATGACATTAAATGAAGACCAGCAAAGACAAGAACATTTTTAGTTTTTAGTTAAACTTAGATTAACATTAGCTATAAACATTATGTAGATTATTCTGATATTCAGCATTCTGAAATCATGACGTATTTAAAGAGGCCCTATATCGGCCCCTGCTGGTCAGGGGACCCCTGGCAGCTTGTATCTGCATGAGAACTTAATAAAAAAAAAACTTCTTATACACAGCTAAATGGAAGAAAAAAAAAATCAGCTGAAATGTTAACTTATCTCTTTCAAATAAAAAAGCAACAGTGAAAGGGTGACTGGGTTCATTTCATCAACAGTAACAGCTCATTAATTAAAATGATTCAGGTTTACAGACAGATGGAGAGCAGCCATTAAGCTGAACTCAGAAGTGTGAGCATACGTCCTTCTTTCCAGTCAGTTCTCAGTAGGTGAGATCTACAGACGATATGGAAGAAGATACCAATCCTGAGAGGCTCTTGAAGCACAGAAACTCTCCCCAATTCCTTCAGTGCTGATGTCTGCATCATCCTCTGATGCAAGAGGATAAAGTTCATCCTAATGAACCCAACAATAGATTTAAATTTACATTTAAGTCTTTTAAAACCCACATATGCCCTTCCCAGCCCAAACCCTTGTTCTTCTCTACACAGATTCTCTTTTCTTCCTCCCAGTTGCTATCCACTCCCCACAGCTGCTTTCCTCATCATTTCCTCGTCCTGCACAGAAAGCTCTGTGAGCTTCCGGCCCAGTCTCTCATGCAGATCCAGGTACTTGGCCACGCAGCGGTCCAGGCACACAGACTCGCCCTTGGTTAGCTCCGCTTCCTTGTAGTGTGGTGGGACGCACTTCCTGTGGCAGGCGTTTGTCATTCTAGGAAGAGAAAACCATCATGTATTACATTAATACCCAGAAGCGGTTGCCTAGGAAACTCCAACAGCACCACCTGCTGGAATTTAAGTCTAATTCACAGAACGGTTTCATAATTTTCTCTTAAAAAAAAAAAAAAAACAGCAAGAAAAATTTGATGAAATTTAGTGCAAAGTTGTGACAGAAGGCAGAAAACTGCAAAGGACAGTAAAGCTGTCCGACTGCAGCATGAAATCAAAGCAAATTCACATCTTTTTCAGACACATTTTTTTTAAAAAGCCAATGCAGGCCAACAGCTGTAGGCGTTCACTGATTCATTAATGCATTCAGCAGCCATGCATCAACCTCACCAGAACACCATTTGCTATCGATTGGTCATGTGTTTGATTTTTGTAGAGTGTAAATTGAGAAGGAAAGAAATAAATGAGTGCTCAGAAATTTGAATAAATGATCGCTCAGGTTACTCCCATCTCTGAGGAATCATCTCTCAGTAGCAGCGATCATTCAGCATCAATAATGTGATCAGGACAACTGTAAATATATATATTTTTATGGGACAACCCTGAAAAAAATGACACTGATACAATCTATGACTTTAACGTTACTGCTGATATAATGGAGGGAATTTCCTTTCGCCTCTAAAATAATTCAGCACACAGCTGGTGATGTCTTAAACCGCAAAACTGAGTAGAACCTAAAGGGAAAATGTCAAAATTGGGACCAAAGTAGGGCTGAAACAATCTGATTAATCGTGATTAAACCATTATTGAAATAATCAACTAATTTAGTAATTGGTTAATTAACTGGAGTATAGGGACTCTAAAACATGCCTTTAGCTGACAGAGTAACCCACAGAGCAGTAATTATAACAAGATTGTAAAGAATATATATATGTAAAACCATTTTGCATTTAAGATTAAAAAAAAAAGTTAAAAGGTTTTGCTTTGTCCTGGTTTAACTCTATAAAAAAATATTTAAGGAACCTTTCACTATCTGATTATTAATGGAAAAATTAGTAAAAGATTAATCAATTAACAAAATAATTGTTAGTTTCAGCCGTAGACCAAAGTGTCAGCATTTCCCTATAGAGGTGTGAAAGCAATCCTGGATATAGAAATGTTTACTTCTCCTCCATGCATTAAGTTTTGCATTTAGGCCAAAATGGCAATTAAAAGATGATTCTGTTTGTTTCCCCTTCAGAAATGACAACTTTTGACTTTATAGCAAAGTCTGGTGACTGCTTTAGATGCTATACTTGTTGTGTTCTGGCTTCATTCAAATGTTCAGCATATTTTATCACCTTATATTATACTTCAACTATAAATCAGATTGTTATTTTTTAATGCCACAATCACCTTTAGTTTGCAGTAATTAATTTAAATCCTACTCATTCATAAAACTTTACTGAGCAAATTAAGATAAACTTGATCATAGACTCACTGTTAGCCACAAGGTCAACTGGAGATGTAAGAAAAGAAAGCTTAGATCAAAGATGCAACAAAAAGCCTAATATGAATCCCTGAGCTTCAGAGATGCACAGCAGGCAGGAGAATCTAAGAAAATAACTACAGGTTGTGCATTCAACCAATCTGAATTTCATAGCTACAAACAGAGGGGTTTGTATTAAATGATGGTCCCTTTAATTTAGCTGTAATGTGAAAAGGTGGAGAATGCAAATAATTAGGTAAGGAAGGGTTAAACTAAACTAGATCATGATAATCAGCAGAATGAAGCCCACGTTTACAGCAGCATAATAAGCTTTTATGCACAGAATGAGCCTCAGTATCAGTTTGTTAGCAGAGGATTTACCGGTTGTACATGTCTGCCATCATCTCCACCTCTAGCTCCGCCGCCAGCTGCTGCGCCTTCATGGGGTCCATGTCTCCGTGTCCGAGCTGCTCAGCCTCGGCCTCCAACCACGCCGCTCCTCTGACCCTCTGCTGCGAACAACCGACACTAAACCCTGCCGCTGCTTCTCCTGTAACCTTCAAAATCTGCAGCTGAAACACGTGTGGAGGGTTTCTTTTAACACTTCCGCTTTGGAGTAAGCATAAAAACTGAGCTTCCAAAAAGTGCGCGCCCCCTAGAGGTGTCCTCTATTTATTATTATTCTTCTTCTGTTTTTTATTGGCGGATGGCAACCAACTTACGATGCATTTAGCGCCACCTACCAGACTGGAGTGTGGTCATCAATGATATCAAGGGGAAGTTATTTATTCATACCTCAATGGTATGCACGAATCTATCAATCAATATCCATACAAATACAATTAAATAATCCGGTGATTTAAAAAATATATAATTTACCAATTTTTAGCAGAATTCGATTTACTTCCTAAAAGATTTATCTTTGAAAATCCAATTTTTTCTCTCTTTAGTGTTAACTTTAAATGCTGACATTCCTGTGAATACTTATCACATTCCATTAATACATGTTCCACTGTTTCCATCTGATTACAGTGATTACAAGTCCCTGTGTCATGTTTCCCTATTCTGAAAAGAGAACTTTTAAGTCCAGTATGACCAATTCTAAGTCGAGAGATGACTCTTATCTCCACCCTCTATTTGTACAACTATTACCCCCAGTCTTTTGAATTTTACATAGATCTCTACCAGTGTTATGATTATCCCAATGTTCCTGCCAAATTTTACAGATTTTATTCTGAATTATAGATTTAACCTCACTTCTGCTTAAAGGAATACTTAATAATATCTTATCTTAAGGCCTGTTTAGCTAATATATCTACTTCATTTCCTTCAATACCTACATGAGTAGGAATCCAGACAAATTGAACAAAATATTTTTACTAATAGATATATGTAATATATGTCTTTATATGCGTGATATATGTCTAATAATAAATCTAATCTACAAGAATCACCAGATTTGATACTTAATAATGCAGCTTGACTATCTGATGCAACTATTTCCTTCCCCAATATTATCATCCCCTAGAGGTGTCTCTACTTTGTGAGGTTTAATGGCAAACAACTTAAATGTGTATTACCGCGCCCTACCAGAATAGATTGTGGAACAAAACGACAATATTCTAGCTAATATATTTAATTGCTTTACTATCACTTCCTCAATATTAGAATCAATTATACATAAATACTATTTATTATCTTTAACCCAAACTTTTATTTTTCATTCTTAATTCAGTAAACTCATTCCTCCTACTGTTTATCTATCCATTTTATTTCAGTTTCTAAACTTTCCATCTATTCATACTTCACTATCCATTTACTATAAAACATCTGACATTATTTAGCATTATTAACGCCTAAACTAGTAAACCAGATGCCCCTGTTCTTCCATCCATCTTCAAACTTAGTAACTTCATTGAGTCCCAAAAACCTTTCAGGTCTTCTCACAATAACTCTGATTTACTCTGTCTTATGCTTGGCTTGGTCTGTGCAGTTAATGACATGCTGTATGAATAAAATGAGTTCCTCTGTTGTTGGAGTGAAGTTATCTTCCCTTTCTACTGTTTTGCTTTTTAACCTTATTCTGTGATTGATTCATTCCTCCTGTCCTCCTTGAACTCTCCTCAGAGAGTTCACTTCACTCACCTTAGCTGATTCATTGGTAGCCTCCAAAGTTACAGCAACTTTCTTCAGCTTCATCCCTGCACTCCTTGATTATCTTCTTCTCCACATTTTGAACACATTTACTTTCCCCTAAAAACTGCTGCCACTGGTACAAACTGAGTGGAGGTGGAATGAACGGCCAGACTGGGAACTGACTCTGAAAACTATCAGCAGCGATATGCTTGCCAATATTTCCCTTATTTGTTTTTATAAAATCTCTGTATTTTTTTAACATTGCCTCCAAAATGTTTATCTTTAATCAATCTAAATCCTCCTTAATTGGTATTCCTGTTACTTCTCCTTTCATTGTTTTATTACTGTCTATGGCTTTTATCTCTATCACATTTCTTTCCTGTGTTCAACATCCAATGCCTTGTTCTTTTGATCATATTTGCTAATTATCAGCAAGTTCTCAACTCCATCTTTTTCATTTCTCTGGCAACACAATGAGGCTCAAAGAACTATTTTTTTCCTCAAAACTGAATCTAATTATTTTTATTTCTTCTCTTATAGCCTTCCTTCGCACAACTTTTTCTTCCTCTGAGATGCTTTCCGATTTATGTCCTTGACTCTAAAACCACCTTTCCTCCCTTTTATCTCCCTCTTTATCGCTCCCTTTCCCATTTGAAGCTGTTGTCCTGTCTTCCTTATCTACCCGAATTGCCATTTGGTTCCATCCACCAACCCGGGCTTTATTCACCGCCGTGCTTTCAAGAAAAATTCTGTCCAAAACCCTCCACCAAACTATACTCTTTCTTCGTCTTATGCTTTCAAAGATGATTCCTCCTAGAGGCATCTCTCTACACACTGAAGCACAGATAAAGAAAAACATCACGTGCTTGAAGACACAACGTTTTAATAAACTATTTTATATTTTACATAAAACCTGCTGTTCTTAACAGATAAAGAAAGTCAACATTAGATCAGACTGCTTTCAACTAAAATATTTATCTTCAAAGAAATTACTAAAATATATTTAATAAATCTGAACAGTGAGAATTTTTCTAATTTTATATGGAAACATTAACAGCCTTTAACATTAACTGTACACATTTAACTAAAACTGTCTGGAAACCAAATTCTGATCCAATCAAAGGCGTCTGTCAGACATTACCGAATGAAATAAAAATATGAACACTATGTAAATATTAAAAGTGCTAAACAGATATAACAAAATAAAGAACATGGTGAAATACTATTCTTCATCTCCAGTCACATCGATTTCGATCACATCCTCCTCCTCCTCATCCTCGTCTGGAAGTACGACCACTCTTTCTTCTACCTCTGTGGTTGGAGAGCCTTTTTCGGGAGAGTAAAGCAAGACATCCACCTCATCATCTTCGTTCTCCTCTTCATCAAAGCAGGAGAGGGTGCTGCTCCCATAATCCCCTACAAAACCGTATTGTGTTAAAACCAAAGACAATTTGCATAAACATGAGATTTAATCGCTTCTTTAGGCATTTTGTTACAAACTGTCTGACACATCTGTTCCAAGTTTTCCATCTGAATATATAAAAATAAATAAAATAATAATTTTCAGTTTAACTGGGCTGAATTTCTATGCTCTATCTTAGGACTTTCAACTACTCTTCATCCGCTGCATATTTATGCTAATGATCCTAAATCAGGTCTAAATGTGTTTGTTGACTTTTCTTACATAAAACAAAGCTATACAGCTCCTCTCCATCTGATGCGTTCAACTTTATGTGTAGCTAAAAAAAAAACGACCACCTGAGTGAACTTCCTCAGCAGATGGTGGGATTAACACCTTCTTCATTTTTAATGGTTCCTATTAGGCTTCCTTCCGCTGCAGAATTGCACTTTGATCTGGTTAAATATCTCTGTAACAATCTGTATGTTCACTGTTTTATGGAGTTTTCCTGTATCTTCTGACAGATTTATACAATATGATCACTTGCAGCATTCATTATATGGTCATTTTATGATCTGTTCAGGGCAGCTGCTCTCGGAAAAAAAGAATTTGTTAATGTTTTAGCGGACACTTCAGCAACCTTAAGGCTTAGAGCTACTTCATGGGTACTGAGTCATAGGAAGGGCTACCAGTGCTGACCTATGAACTGGAGGAGTCAACTTTCACCTAAATTCCATGCATAATAAATATATTTTAGGTATTTTTTTTATTATTTATTTCTAATTTTCTTTTAGATATTGCCATTTTGAAATCTCTAGAAATTCAAGTGAGATTAGTAAAGGAAAGGCAATAGCATAAAATAAAATTTCAAACTGGTGAGTTTTACCTTGGTGCCCACAGGCACCGCAGTGGTGGTCTCTGTTTTAGCGCTAGCTTAGCCCTTACAAGCCTCCGCGTGTTTTACATCATTTACCTAAAGCTGGGCGTATACTGTGTGATTTTTTTCAATCGTTGCACGCATCTGCTGCTCACACTGTACGACTAAACCCTGCGTTTAATCGTACAGTGTGAGCTCTTAGCTCATGATTTATGTTCTGCCCAACGCTCTGATACGATTTACCTGCTCACACTGTACGACTAAAAAGCACGTCGGACTGAGCTCCGCAGTGAGATGGAGCTGCTCTGTAGCTCTCTATCCTGAAGCCAAACAAATAGAAGGGAGATATTTAGCTCACTATAGTGAACCAGCTGCCTTGGCAATATGTGCCATTTTGTGCTGAGGGTCCTAGAAAGAAAGGACGACGACGTATTTGGAAAAAGGACATGGCTGAGCAGGCGTGGCTGCTGCGGTCCGTCGATTTTGCAGACGGAGCTGCATTTTATTCATTGCATCCCTGCCATGCTGCTGTGTTTACATCTGAGAGGAAGAATAAAAAGAAGAACCCTTGTTTGCGTATGCACCCTGAACGATTTGCCCACGACGGTCGGGAGGAAATCAGACAAGTTTGATATTCTTCCTACCTTCCGATTCCTGATCGGGAGGTGGTCGTGGGAGGCTGATCGACGCTCGTTACCCCCTGTACACTACACGACTTACGATCAGGCTGAAGTCGGCCCGATCGAAAGATTCTCGCACGACTGGAAAATCGCCCCCGAAAATGGATATTTGAAAATGAAATACTGAAAAGTGTGGCGGGGATCTGTATTTAGCCCCAAATAACCGGAAACCAAACAAAATCGTAGCAGCTGAGTTTAAAAACAGTGAATCTCAGTATAAACACAGCTGTTCTCTGAAGGTCTTGGAGGTTAAATAGATCAAACTATAGAAACAACAATGTCACAAAGAGCTACGCTCCCAGCAGGAACGTCAGAGACATGGTCCTCAATCTACACTTCAGGCTGTGCAAGGAGAGCATAACTCTGCTTGTATTTTGCCTTGTAGGGGACAGAGCAAACCTAGGAGGAGTTCTGCTCAGAAGGAAACTCATCTGAACCATCTGGACAACGTGCTACCTTCTGTTTTCAGAAGACTGATCCTGATAGACCAGAGACTAAGGTGGATTTTCACACCAAAAGTAAAGCAGGAGGGTTTATAAAGCCTGTGTGACGTCTGCTGTCAGAGGAGGAAATACTGTAAAGATCCAGAGGTTCTGTCACATCTGTAAGGCATCTTTTCAGGTTCTGGTAAAACTTGACTTTCAGCCTTTTGGAGGCACCACACAGACACGCTGAGGATTTAAACACCATCATTTCACATTGAATTTCAATCTCAGCTATGATGAAAACCTTGTTACCTTGATGAGAGCTTCTAGCAGACTGGTCTCTGTTGCCTGGCAACGTGGCCGTGCTCCTCCATGTCTCTAAACCGTCCGGTCCAGCTGGCTTACACTCATCCTTTGATGTGTTTGGAAGCAGATTGTGATTGTTATCATAAAGCGTTTGATGTTGGAACTTTGCTTCTCTGTCCTTTTCCATCTCTGCCCTCATATTGAACCCATCTTCTGCCTCCCTAACCTTTGCCTTTTCTAAATCTACAGCTTTGGATCCCTTTCCACCTGGGGCTTCCTTCCCCTTCCTTGTTTTGGAGGGTTTCCATTTAATACATTTACGCAACTCTTTCAGAGTTTTCATCAATGATGGTTTCAGTGTTTGGCTGCTTCCCACGTTGTCAGTTTCAGTTTTTCCAGGACATTTATCACTTTTCCTCTGCTTCTCTGTGTCTCTGTTACCCACAGTGCTGATCAACCTCCTGCATGTTTTTCTCTCTTCCGTTGTCGTTTGCTTCTCAGACGCCTTTCCTCTGGCCTCCTTTTGGACCCTGATCTCAGCTCCAGCAGCATCGGTGGTTTCCTTCTCGAGTTTTATTTTTCGAGGCCTTCCCCGCCCCCTCTTAGGAGGAGGGTCTTGTTTTGGTACCATTACTGCTCTGCTTATTAAGGGTATTAAAACGCAGCACCTATCTGTCACTGTGCTGCTACTGTTTTGTTCACACGTCTTCACAAAGCCCCGTGTTTTGATCCGAGCATTTTCTGTGCCTAGATTTGGGGCTCCTCTGGATTTGGCACCACGAGGAGCTGTGACCAGCGTCGCTGAGCCTGGAGAGAGAGAGCTGTTCGTCTTCTCTCTTTCCTTCATCGGTACAGCAGGACAATACAGAAACACTGAGTGAAGACTTTTAGCTGCATTTCTGCCTCTGGATGAGATCAGATCCAAAGCCGGAACTTTAGGCTCTTTCTGAGAATTTGGACACCTTCCTTTCCTTTTCTTAGGAGGCGGAGCATCTTCTACATCATCATGCTCGTCCGTCTTCCTCATCTTAATGCGCTCAGATTCCCTGTCCCCACTCTGACGTGCGTCGTCTCTAGCTGCGATGTTGTTTAGAGGAAGCTGCAGCGTGCATGCGCTTCCTTTGAGCCATGGCAAAGCGTTACCCGATGGCGACTCACAGGGCGAGGGCTTTAATGGAGAGAGACACCTTGGAAGCCGCAGCTCATCCGTGCATGGGGGGGGAAACTTAGTGGCAACCGGCGGAGGTAAAACCTGGACGCTTTGATCTTCGTGGAATGATGGCTGTTGTAACAGCAGGCGATCTAGATTCTCCCCTATGGAGAAACACGTTACAGGTAATGGGAAACCAGAAGTTTGGGGAAATGGTGATTTCATTGGCCCAGATAAAAGGACGGATGAGCTCATTTGAGGCAGCTGCTGCTGCCATGTTTGTAAATCAGTTGGCACTGGAGAGGGGCCTGCCAGGATTTGTTGGTTCTGTGCTGCAAAATGATGGATGCCTGCCCGGGAAACACAAACAAAGCAAGATCATCAGAACAAGGAAGAGACAAAAGGAAAACCTGTCTGTTGGTGTGCTATGAAGTAATTTGTAAGGTAACAGCAGCTTTGTGTGAAAAGGTTTCCTTTTTTCTTTAGCACAAACATCCAGTCTCAACGAAAAGATCAGAAATCAGTCCCAGATTGAAACAAAGAACTAATGTTAAAACATCAAACGGTTTGTGAAAATGATAGCGACCTGTGTCCGTGTCTGATTGGTCACCTGGCGTCTCCAGGGTCTGGTAGGACACGCCCTCTGCTGCAGCAACATCAGCACTCTGCGCCGTCGGCCCAACGTCGTTCTCCGTAGCTGGGACCTCATGAAGGGTTGACGCCGCGCCGAGGTCCACCTGCGATTTCTTGCAGTTGGTGTTCAGGTTAGGGAGATAATTCAGACTCCTCATGATGCTCTCCAACATCTCGTCGATCTGCTCGTTGGACTCCTCCCCGGGGCTCTGAGGCGGCAGGAGGCACTCTGGTTCCAGCTCGCTGCTATGATCCATCCAGAGGCTGCAGGTGGATCGGGCTTCAGAGAAAGAGCTGGTGTTGGCCTGTTCGGGGGAGGAGTTCGAAACATCCCGGACCTTCTGGGAATCTGGGTACTGGACTGGAAGGGCAGAGGGAGCTGGAGTCTGGAGAACATCAAGGCCTGTTTGCGGGGTGTTCTGGTTGGAGCGAGTCAACAGAAAGCAAGAAATGTCAGCTTTTACCTTAGAATGAATAGAGATAAATAAAACAAATCGTTGATCTATAGTTGATCCACCTGATTCAGGTTAGACAGAACCGACACATCCTCATCTTGAACGGCCACCGTCTCCCACACATCTCCTCTTGTCCTCCTCCTCAGTTTCACCTGAGAACAAAAACAGTCGTTAAAATGAGAAGGCAGGCTGACTTTCTGTTCAACCAGGTGGATTTCAGCATTCAGGGAGCTAATTCAAAAAATTTGCGTTTCAAGATCAGGAGACGGTTTTTGGTTCTGCCAATAATCTATTCAGTGCTTCTCTGAGGTCTTACCTTGATGGAAATCTTTGCTGTTTCCATACTCTCTCTTTTCCATTTCATCTTCTCTAGATTCTTTCCTCCTGTGATAAAATGAGACTTCTTCTTATGTTCTTTCTTCAGCGTCTTTTCTCCTCCATCCACAGTCGCCTTCCTGTTTCCGTCCTGCTGCCCTGGCCTTTCCTGGTCCTCCTCAGCAGGCTGATTCTTTTTCTGCGATCTTGGTGAGTCGGCATGTTGGCTGAAGCAAGTTGCTATTGTTTCCATGTGCCTGAATGAAGCGGAGCCCCGCTGGGCTGAAACCTCAGGGTCGCAGTGGACGCTCGGGTTGGAGGTGAGAGAACTCTGGAAGACGTTTTTAGACTGGCAGGTAGAACAGGATCCTACAACAGATGCAGACTCTACAGTTGGAGGCGAAGCTGGAGCAGGACCAGGATCGACGGCAGACATTAGGATACTTTCTACAGTTTGTGTCCCAATCGAAGCAAAGCTTTTCCTTTCAAGAGGATCATCCTCTATCTTCCCACTTATCTCAGCCTGAACCTTTGGATCCTGCATTTTCACATCTTTGTGCATCCCTCTGATGTGAACCTTTTGCCTTACTCCAAGAAGCTCTGTGCCTTCCCCCTCACTGTCTTTACATCCTAATTTGATGTTTGTGATTCCAAACTTGTGTGCTGCAGCCAGCACCTCATTCTGCTCCTCGCTGCTTCTCACTTCCAGCTCTCCAGAGTACAGGAGCCGGACCAGCTTCACTAAGGTCTGGGCTGACACTGCCTGCAGGTGAAGCCAACGTTTTTGCCCCGACTGAGGGGAGGGGGAGGCCGACAACCTCTGGGACAAGTAAGGGCTGAGGGCAGCCAGGACGCAGCTGTGTGCCGGGACTGAGATACCTTTGTGAATGCGACATAGAGACGGATGCATTAACGGGTCCTCCAGGTAAAAAACATTATGTGGATCAGCGGTCTTACCGTCAGATTGCAGCATGGTATCACAGAACTGTGTGCTGTTTTGCTGCCTCTGCAGCTGCTCCAGAAGCTGGGTTTCATAGCCGAGCCAGGAGAACCGCTGCATGTTCACAAGCTCCTGGGAGCAAAAGTATGGGGAGAGAAATTACTCATGATTTGCCTATAAAAAAAGAAAATAAAAAACATTAATAGCAAAGGTAAACACTAGGAGCATAACTGTTCACAGACACACAAACTACTATTTTTTCAAACTACTTGTCATTAGTTTGTAACATTAAATTCCAGTCTAGAATCTCCTGTCTCTATTGTCTCCAAATGTTTGATTTAAATATGACTTATTCAATAATTGAACTTTATTGATCTCCCAAAGGAGAAATTCACTCTCTTCATTTAACCCATCCCCTTTGGGAGCTGTGGGCTGCCATTGTGTGGCCCCGGGGGGCACCAGCCCCAACTGTGTGCTGGTGAAGATTCTCAGTCATCCAGGTCCAAGTTTAAAGATGTTTTGCTTCCCAACCAGGAAGTTTTTTCAATTAAAAATGTCAGATATAGCGTTGAGTTTGAGGCTTTATAGAGTGGACCAAAAACAAAGCCTTGTTTTGGCTTAGAAAACATGCTTATTGAACCGGAAGAACGCCCCTTAGGAATGGGAAGTCGTTTGGGTTTACTGTTAGCCTGCAATACCTGCTACCTGTCTATGTCTCTGAGACATAGACAGGGGCTAAAAAGGTGACATGTTCTGTTCCTCTGTAAGGGGGGGGCCTGCGATGATAGTGGGAACTAATCATTTTGATTCCTATATGGGAAGCAAAACTTTTTCAAACTTTTTTGGAAGGATTAGTAAATATAACATTGGTTGTTTTCTTTCAATTATTATTTTATTCATTGAAAGAAAGAAGCTCTAATAAAAAGCAGAAGTTATTTTTTCAATTTTGTCCTTTTTAATAAGACACACACACAGACAAAAAAAACAAAAAACATCAACATGAAGTAGTTAGAAATCTCCAAAAGAAAATCATGTCTCAGTGCAGGGGTGGCCAGTTGGAATTATTGTTATCATGCTGAAGTTATTTTCAATAACAATAGATTAAGTCTAAATATGTCTGAAAACCTTTAAAATTCTGTATTTATCTTTCCTCCAATGTTTTTTTTATTTATTTCTAATTACAGCATTGATCTGTTTGAAAAACAGGATAAAATATTGTAATTGATAAGAATCCAACTTCTTTCTGGAACCGGTGTCCTGAAGGGATGCGTTCCTTTGACAGTAGTATTATCATTACCACCATTAGGGCAGAAACAATTAATCGGATTACTCGCGATTAATTGATTATTTAAATATTCGTAAACTAATGTAGTAATCGATCAATCAATAATTGGAGCATCGACACAATAATTTAGCTGACAGAGCGACCCACTCAGGTTAGTAATTTTACCATGATTGTAAAAAATAAGTAAACATTTTGCATTTGAGATTACAAAAAAAAAAATCTCTGTTAATACCCTCTATCCAGAAGAAATTTTTTGTTTCACATGGTTTAATTTAATAAAAAATCTACTTTAAGGAACTTTTGGCTATCCGATTATTAATTGAAAACATTATTGACAGATTAACCGATTTGAAAAATAATCATTAGTTGCAGCCCTAATCGTGATAGTACCATAAACTATTTGGATGAAATATTAATACTGTATCAAATCCCCTTTAACAATAAAACCCTACCCAATCTAACAAATTCATTTTTGCATAAAATATCAGTATATCTGAAACATTTTAAGTTAAAAATAGAATAGTTTAACACTTTATTTTGGAATTTCACCCACAAGTTGATTGTATGAAGTGCCACTACTGTCAAATAGTTTCCACTGTTAATACTATATATTGTAATCTAATGCAAAAGTCCGCCATAGTAATTTAGATTTTTAGTTTTACCAGATGAAATTAAGGTTTAATAATCAACATATATTATATTATCTAATACTGGTTTGCAGTAATCCTGTTCAACTCTTAGCAGCCTAAATACTTTACTGCTTTAACATGACAATAATGAAAGTGGTTACTTAAATGTGACCCAACTATGTTTTAAATGTTCTGGTGGCTATAATGATACAAACTGTCCTGTTTGAAGGTTTCTGCCTTAGTTTTAACCCTGAATGTCATATTAAGGTTGGCTAAACAAAAAAAACACACATATTTTGTTCTGTATTATAAATTAAAAGTACGGAAGAGTATCAGGGCCACTGGAAAAAAAAAAAAAAACTCAACTCATTTGTAAATTTTTTTTCAGTATGAGAAAAAAGTCAGCATTTTAACTTTGACTCTGACTTTAATCTTAGAATTCTGACTTTTTTTTTCAGAGTTCTGACTTTAATCTCAGAATATAGGATCGTAATGTAGATGGGCATCATGAAGGAAGAGATGGTGGAGCACTCAGTTTCACTGGCAAAGATGTGAGTTGTTTGGGAGGGCCAGTAACACACTGGTGGAAAATGACAGAATTAGGCGACTTTTTATGTGCCCGAGGGGTCCCCGCTGATGTTATTTCATTAATGGAAGGGCAGAAGGTGATTAGAACAAGAGAGCTAGTTTAGTCTTTAAAACAGACATGGCTACAGCTCGATGCTAACATGTTTGCTAGCTGTCAGAATTCAGATAGAATCCTGAGTCTTAATTCTAAGAAGAAGAAAAAACATAATTGTGAGAAAAAAAGTCAGAATTCTGAGATAAAAGTCAGAATTCTAAGATTGAAGTCAGATTTCTGAGAAAAAAAGTCTTAATTCTAAAATAAAAAGTAAGAATTCTGAAATTAAGTCAGAATACTGAGGAAAAAAAGTCAGAATTCCGAGATTTAAGTGACTTTATTCTCATATTATACATGATAAAAGTTAAAAATCATTAACTTTTTTTAATTTTTTCAGTGGCCCTAATCCTCTACCGTATTAAAAGTAATTCTTTTTGCCTGCTATTAAATGTTTGTATGAGACTTAGATATATTTAATAAAATGTGTTTTCTGAATCTTAGGAGAGTTTTTGCAGCTTATAAACTTTCTACAGTAGAAACGGTTATAAATTAAAATGATCCATCGATGTATGGTTGAACCAAACACCAAACCGGAAGCCAACTTCAGTAAAGTCCATCTTCTGATCAGATTTGGCTCCTGGTTTGGTTGTCTACAATAAAACATAGAAATGTTTAATATTTTTGACCAAACTAAACATTTCTGGTTCATTTAACCGTTTTTAATTGTTGAGTTATCGTCCTTTTATGACGACAAGTAGAGCAAGAACCATCTTCCACCACATGCTTAAAATAAATACTTAAAAAAAATTCCATAAAGTTAATGTAATTAAGCGAATAAAGAACTATCAGTGTGGTTGTTAACAAAGGAGAAACACAAAAAACTAAATTGAAGAGTAGCCCGCGAGAAAAAACCCTGAACTTGGTTGATATTGGTTAGCTTTTTAACATTGCTAAATGTTGCTAAAGCAGGCTAGCATCACATATACTTACCTATATTTCCCTGGATGCGGGTTGAAGTCTGAAGGATAAACCTTAATGTAGCATTTTCTCACGAAACTAGCTTTAAACTCAGATGATTTAAAAAAAAAACTATTTATTTTCAACACCTTGTTTCTTAAATCTGAAGAGGAGTCAAGAGGCAGCGACACCTGGTGGCCACTCTGTCAAAGTACAGAATTCTGCTGTGTTTGGCCTCCAGCACCAAGTACATCCCGCTGCAGCCTGCGGGAAGGCGGGGCTTGATGTCAAGCCCCGCCCACATCAAGAGCAGCCATATTGGAAATGCAAGCCCCGCCCACACAAGGACAGCCATACTGGAAATTGACCGCTCCTTCTTCTTCTTCTATTTTTTTTAATGGCGGTTTGCAAACAACTTATAGGTGCATTACCGCCACCTTCCAGAATGGAGTATGGACCAGACAAACTATTACAGGTGCTGGTCATAAAATTAGAATATCATGAAAAAGTAGATTGATTTCAGTAATTCCATTTAAAAAGTGAAACTTGTATATTATATTCATACATTACATACAAACTCATATATTTCAGATGTTTATTTTGTTTAATTTTGATGATTACAAATGACAACAAATGAAAATCTCAAATTCATCATATCAGAAAATTAGAATATTGTGAAAAGGTTCAAAATTGATGGCCCCTGGTGCCACACTCTAATCAGCTAATTAACTCAAACCACCTGCAAAAGCCTTTAAATGGTCTTTCAGTCTAGTTCTATAGGCTACACAATCATGGGGAAGACTGCTGACTTGACAGTTGTCCAAAAGACGACCATCGACACCTTGCACAAGGAGGGCAAGACACAAAAGGTCATCGCTAAAGAGGCTGGCTGTTCACAGAGCTCAGTGTCCAAGCACATTAATAGAGAGGCGAAGGGAAGGAAAAGATGTGGTCGAAAAAAGTGTACAAGCAAGAGAGATAACCGCACCCTGGAGAGGATTGTGAAACAAAACCCATTCAAAAATGTGGGGGAGATTCACAAAGAGTGGACTGCAGCTGGAGTGAGTGCTTCAAGAACCACCACACACAGACGTATGAAAGACATGGGTTTCTGCTGTCGCATTCCTTGTGTCAAGCCACTCTTGAACCACAGACAGCGTCAGAAGCGTCTTGCCTGGGCTAAAGAGAAACAGGACTGGACTGCTGGTGAGTGGTCCAAAGTCATGTTCTCTGATGAAAGTAAATTTTGCATTTCCTTTGGAAATCAAGGTCCCAGAGTCTGGAGGAAAAGAAGAGAGGCACTTCATCCACGTTGCTTGAAGTCCAGTGTAAAGTTTCCACAGTCAGTGATGGTTTGGGGTGCCATGTCATCTGCTGGTGTTGGTCCATTGTGTTTTCTGAGGTCCAGGGTCAACGCAGCCACATACCAGGAAGTTTTAGAGCACTTCATGCTTCCTGCAGCTGACCAACTTTTTGGAGATGCAGATTTCATTTTCCAACAGGACTTGGCACCTGCACACAGTGCCAAAGCTACCAGTACCTGGTTGAAGGACCATGGTATCCCTGTTCTTAATTGGCCAGCAAACTCTCCTGACCTTAACCCCATAGAAAATCTATGGGGTATTGTGAAGAAGAAGATGCAATACACCAGACCCAACAATTCAGAAGAGCTAAAAGCCACTATTAGAGCAACCTGGGCTATCATAACACCTGAGCAGTGCCACAGACTGATCGACTCCATGCCACGCCGCATTGCTGCAGTAATACAGGCCAAAGGAGGCCCAACTAAATACTGAGTGCTGTACATGCTCATACTTTTCATGTTCATACTTTTCAGTTGGCCAACATTTCTATAAATCCTTTGTTTTTATTGGTCTTCAGTAATATTCTAATTTTCTGATATGATGAATTTGAGATTTTCATTTGTTGTCATTTGTAATCATCAAAATTAAACAAAATAAACATCTGAAATATATGAGTTTGTATGTAATGTATGAATATAATATACAAGTTTCACTTTTTAAATGGAATTACTGAAATCAATCTATTTTTTCATGATATTCTAATTTTATGACCAGCACCTGTATATTCTTCCTAAAATACCCGTTCTTCTTAGAAAATTAAAAATACTCCCAAAAACTACATCCCCAGATGACCTTTGAAACAATTCCCTTATATCTAGTTTGTTTTTATTCCCGCCTAACTCTCTACGCAACATCTCTTTCCTGAGTATATTTATAACATTCTAAAAAAATATGTTGGAAAGTTTCTAATTTCCCACAAATACAACACCCTGTATTATGCCTTTTCATTATTTTAAGAGTACTATTTAATCCTGCATGTCCGAACCTTATCCTAGATATATCTTCTTCTTTTTTAATTCTATTACATTTTCTTGATTCTCCAACCTTTTTTTGAATACTATAATAAAATTGAGCATTCCCTCCTTTATCCCACTGTTCTTGTCATTTCTTCTTGAAATACATTTTTATAATATTCCTTAACTCATTTTTACTAATGTTAATGTTTAAATCAACATCCTTTTTTACAGCACTCTTAGCAAGAGAGAATGATCCACTGTGGATGATGTTTTTTTTTTTTCTATATGAAAACATTTTTGAATAAAGTCACTGGATTAAACTAGTGTGTAAATTCTAACTATAACTACCTTCATCTTATCTGCTCAGCGGATCACTTAATCATGCGCCTCTGTCCCAGCCTAACGGCGGTAGCTTCATCTCCTCCACCCTTCATAAAGTCCGGCTTGATGTGTGCAATTAGACTTAGACTTCTTTATTGTCATGTGCTCCTCACCTGAGCTTCCATCACCCCCATCCGGTCTCCACTGTTGTTAGGCATACCTTAATCTTATGTTTGTAATATGACTATGTAACCGAACAATGTGTTTTTCTATGTGCTTCATTTATTACAAAAAAAGGTAAAATAAATCTTATTCTGACTGGTAAAACAAACAACTTCACTGTATGTCAGGCTTGCAAATAAAAATTCTATTGATTCCAGTCATTGTTCAAAAATTTTAGGAAACATTTTATTTAAACATAAAATATTGCACGTTCTTAACTTTGCTTGTATGTTAAATTTAAAAAAAGGTTATGAAATTGTTAAACAATGCTGTTACAGTATATTTACAATCACTTTATTGGTTCACTCTCTTTTCAACATCTTACAGCTACAATGTAACTTTGTCTGGAATAATATTGGAACAATATTTCTATAAAACCTAAATGAATGAATGAGCTATAGCAAAAGGAACATTCAAAAAGTTACATAATATTGAAACAACTCAAAAAGAATGACTACACAAGTTAAAAGGCAAATGTGCTTCATCAGAAATGTTTTAAAATAGAAGGTCACAGAAAAAGACAAAAAAAACGAACAATGTGTGACAACAGACATGTCTGAAAGACTGGAAAACAAACTGATTGATTATTGACATTCAGGGCAGTGTCCGGGTTTGGTATCACAGTAGTACCTTGGGTACTCTCCTCGTCTTCCATTGCCGGTGAAGCCCACACAGTCTTTATATTGCCGGTTGCAAGAAGAACATATTACAACCGCAAAAGGAATTCGGTGTTCTGCCTTGAATGATGACATCCAATTCACAGCACGTCATCTGATTTTCCCCCCATGTCCTCTTTATTACGTGAATTGGTGTGCTTGATGATGTAAATGACTTGGCAACAGCAAAAACACCATTGTCAAAATCAATGCACTGGCAGCACAGGTGGTGTTGAGCGGTTATGTCAGGTTTCACTACAGTGTGGCGTCTCTGCAGGTGCACCCGTAAATTGCGCCTGTTCAACTTCAATCCACAGTGTGGACATACCACTGACTCTTTGGCCTTGCAAATTGGCGGTGGTGGGGGAGGCAATGGCACTCGCATGGAGAATGAGCCAGGTGCTGCAGAGGCTAGGGAATTTGACAAGGTGAAAGGAGCTGGAGACTGTGGTGAGGCCGAAAGCACCGTTGAATGAGGCAAGGGGGCGGGGGTGGAGGTGGAGAATGTGGTGAGGCTGAAAGCGCTGCTGAATGAGGCAAGGGAGCTGGAGACAGATGCCCCTTCAAGTGAATCTCAAATTGGTCCTTCCGTATAATGGTGTTGATGCAGTGCGGGCAATGAAAATGTGCAAACTTTCTGCACGGCCTACTGCATTTACAGATGGTAAATCCTGTAAAGAAAAAAAATAATGTTATACATACATCTGAAAGGCCAGCTATTCCAACATGTAGGAGATATTTCACCATAGTTGCCATAAACATACAAAATTCCATCCATACAAACTTTACCTTTGTGCTTCACTGCTAGCTTCAAGTGATTTTGCAAATGAATATCCATCTGGTATGTATGTTTGCACGTGAACATACAGCATGGGCATTCATACAGTCCATCCCTCTGAAAAGACCGAAGGTCCAGGGCACCTTCCAAATGGGTAGGGTGCTGAGAAAAAAAAAGAAATGTATTTCTTTTTTCAGTTTACCTTTAACAATCTTTACTGTTGCATTTTTTACATACCTGCATCTACAATGTAGTACTTTCACTCTTTACAAAGCTCTTTCATTTTTGGTTAAACAATCTGATTGACCATTTTGTCCCTTTAAACTTTATTTAATTCGTCCCGTAAACACATTTTAATGAAATGATTAACCTAAATTTTCCTGTCATTTTTCTGTCTTCATGGTGGCAGGCATCTTAAGCTCATTCATATTTAGCCTAACGATATACAAAACTACAAAAAAAGGCTTTTAAACTACATAAAATATATAGCCATAAATTTGATAAATTTGTACAAATAGCCATATTTGTACAAATTTATAGAAATGACTCGTCGCCATGATGCGCAGGTCAGTGTTGACCACAATGTTTCCTTCATAGTCTAGATTATCCTCAATTTCCTAACGAGATTGTCATTCGTTACAAATAATAATAATAATAATAATAATAATACAACCTTTCATGCATGTTAATCAAAATAATAAAAAAACACATTCAAGTCAGTTTGTCACCACGTCAATACAAATCTTTTGCAAGAAATTCCAATCCTTGACTATGGCAATGCAAGCTAGCTGCTAACATGCAACAACACGGCCAGTTATT